AGGGGATAAAGTGTTAATATTTGTAGTGATCAGAAAAAGCCTAATGTAGGAGCTGGCACCTATGCAGCACAGGGTCATGCATAGGTAATGGGTAAGGGTGATGACCAGGTTGGGGTAGTCCTTTCCGTTCTTTTAACTATTTTCTTCAATTCTCACTCATGAACTAAAAGCCGTGTTTTAGCTAGGATTTCATATCTCCAAAGCTGCTCATATGATATCCTGGATAAAAACAGGTAATTAATTAAAAGGCACAGTGGGTATACCTTCAAAACTAAAAACACTACCAGAGGTAACACTGGGCAGATACATCTTCTACAAGCAGTCAGTTCAACCAGCTTGAGCTCAACACTATGCTTTTCTGAGCCCTGGCTAATACGTACCGACGGCATCCAAGATCCACTTACTGGGTGAAAATTTGGATAATAGTTTTTCCTGTTCTCTCCTATTTATGACTTTTCCTCCTTTGACCCTATTTTTGCAGATTGGAGCAAGAGACTTCTAACTCTAAAAGACAAAACCAGACTATTAACAGGAAGTATCAAGACATTTGAATTGTAGGTTTATCAGCAAAGCCCAGGCAATGCCCACGAGCTACCAAGATCAACATGAGATTCCTGTTAGGCCAAGGCTGGCCAGCCAATGAGGGAGTGCCTGGCTACCCTCAGCTCTAACTATATTTCAGACCTGACTTATCACAGCTATTAGTAGATTGACTAATTTCAGTTTGTTTCTCTGTGTCTCCAACATCATTGTGTGTAAAACCTGGGAACAACACAAGGACATTCATTCAGGACGTTGCTTTGCCATTGTCTATTAATAAACTGTCATGGTAAACTCAAAAATGTAATACAGCCCAAAGGTAAAAGGAAATAATTTACTTTCCCTGTCCTTATGTTTGTGGACTCTGGCTCAGTGCTCCTTTGCAGAGCTGATTTTGTGTAATAAAACTTAAGCCATATGGAACCCTCAGGAAATGAGTGAGTTCTCCTAATAGCTAGAGGTTTACCTCTTTTAAGTACCAATACTTTTTTTTCATCTTTTTAACCAGTACGAAAGAAAATCTTCCAAAATGTATCATGTCCTGCCTACCTTGCTATATGATACCTTTCCTTTTCTTCTTAAACAGAATGTATTGAACAAAATTTAAACTTTTCTTGGTGACTCAGGAATCTTATTATGAACATCTTTTTGTACTTAGCTGGCATATGGTTATGCCTCCATGGCCTACTGAAGTGTAAAGAGTCATTTGTGCCTACTCTGAATGGCCCTTTCCCACTGTGCTTTTTGAGTTCTTAAGTCTGTGGTTTACAGTTTTCCCTGTTTTTTCCCTTGCTGTCTGGCTGTCGCTTCTTCCTATTATCAACACAGCTTCCATAGCAGCCCTTCTTCCTTCCCACCTCTTTTAAATTTATTACTTTTAATATGCTACAGGCTTGTAAACCTCAGAACTAAACTTATTCGAATTGTGTGTAAAGTAGGAGTAAACAGGCACTGAGTGAAGGCTAGTCAAGCTCTCCCTTGAGCAAAGTGAATGAGCTTTCTTAGTACATAGATGTTGTGTCATCTCTTTTGGCTGCCCAGAGGTTTTTCTGCTTTCTTCCTGATTCATGCTGAATCAGCTGATATTGTCAGAAAGCTGAGTTCCCGATAGGTGAGGTGTTACTCCACAACCAGCATTATGGTTGTAATACTATGTTTATTATCTGATAAGCAATGATACAGGAACCAATGACCATGCCATATGAATAACACATCATGAAGACCAATTAGACAATTGAGTATTTAAATGAAATAAAATGTCAAAAGTCTTGATACATTACTCAGTTACCATACAGCATACAGATTTATTAGGCATTTAGTTAGGCAGAGATGGTAAAGGAAATATAGAAGGGCCCACAGATAAACTTCACTTTTGTAGATGGCCAATCCTGCTGGTTTTTGGTGACTCTGGAACATTATTGGATGACTCCAGAACTGTCCTGCTGACAGGCAGTGAGCTAAAATATTCCCACGTTAGCTTTTCAGGCATAAACCTTTTGGTTTAGTTGGGGGCACACCTGGGCTAGGGCTGAGACGGAAGAGTAACAGATTATTAGAACTTGAAATACCCTCAAAATTAGTCTTGCTCTTCAGAGATGAAAATCGAGGCCCAGAATGGGGAAGGGACTTGCTGAAGGTCCATACAGCTTGTTAGAGGCAGAGCCGGGACTCAAATTCAGATCTGAGGAGTCTTGGTCTCCCCAGGGTTCAACCTGGGTGAAGTTGGTCCCCAGAAACTTGAGGAGGTCCAGAAATTAAAATTAAGCCACAATTTCTTCCCTTTTTACTTAAGTTACTGCTAATCCTCAACCTCCTGAATTAATGATGACAAAGTTGCCTCTGATGTTCTCAGACTTAGTATTTTGATCCTTAAATCCTGCTTGAGGATTTGTGTGGCATAGTACAAAGACTATTAGATTTGGAATCAGGAAAGACCTGGGTTTCATTGCAGGCTATCAGGTAACAGGTGGCAGGCCATATGACTTCAAATTTAATAAGGATGATTTTTTTTTTTTTTGCCTTTTACTCATAGAATGCTCAAGTTGGAAAGTACCTTAGTGCAATCATTCTTATCGCTTTATAATTATACTTTGTACTCTGGGCTTTTAAAAATTACATCACCTATGTTGGTTAGCTTTGCTGAAATGTCTTTTTCCCTATTTTTGCTCTTTGTTACAAAGGGTGACTCTCTGATAAAGGGAAAGAATAACATTGGGAAATGTAGGCAATGTAAAAGGCATTAATATAATTTTATTTGAAAAGAAAAGTTAAATCAACAAAGAATAGGACATTTTGGGAAGATTTTGCCACTATTCAATTCAGCAGTTTACCCAAGGAAGCTGGGCATGTAGGAGTTGTTATTTCTGCTTACTCTCACCTTTCTTGTAAGACTTCTCTGTGGGGAAATCATTTTTCCTGGGGTTTCTTCTGTAATCCTCTCTGATCTGAGAACTAAGCATCCAGGAAGAATGTAAGTTCCTTTATGAAAGGGACTGTCTTTCATTGTATCTTTGTTTTCCCTAGTACATAGGTGTCAAACATATTGTGGGCCACAACACTCCCAAGTACCACCCAAACCAGATTAAAATATAAGGGGGAGAGAACCTTGGGAAGACTTATATGGATTGAGGCAGTGAATTGACACAGAGAACAAACTTATACCTTTTTTTTTTTGGTATCACCACACTTAGCACGGTGACATAATAGGTGCCTAATAAATGCTTGCCAAGTGACAGTGAAATGAGAAGAAGCAGAAAATGTATACAATGACTACAGCAAAGAAAAACAATTAGAGTTGTGAACTCTGATCAGTTTAGTGATTCATAGGAACAAAGGCATGATATGGAAGAATTCAGTGTTGTGTTTTAAGGATAGAAAGTTCAATTGGCTGGAGCATAAAATGTATAGAGATCGAGTAACGTGATTTAAAGTTTGAAGGATTTATATCATATTTCTTTACATCTTATGGCATCAGACTGTAGAGGATCTTGACTACCAGGCAAAGTAAGAAAGATTATTCTGGAAGTAGTATATGAGATGGATGGAGAGGGAAAATCACAACCTTTCTCAGCCTCAGAATATGAGAATAATAATGCCTGTAGTATCTACCTCACAATGTTGTTACCACTAAATGAGATCATGTTTGGAAAAGTATTTTACAAATAATAAGGTGCTATATAAACGTCGCCTATTGTTATTATGGAGGCAGTTATGTTGCACAGTGAATAGACTGCCAGGCCTGGAGTAAGACTCATCTTTCTGAGTTCAAATCTAGCTTCAGACACTTACTAGCTGTGTGACCCCGGGTAAGTCACTTAACGCTGTTTGACTCAGTTTCTTCACCTGTAAAATGAGCTGGAGAAGGAAATGGCAAACCACTCCAGTACCTTTGCCAAGAAAATCCCAGATGGGGTCACAAAGAGTTGGACATGACTTAAATGACTAAATAACAAATTGTTATTATTTTATGTATTTGGAAATCAATGTTTTTCTTCTACCACCAAGCATACCATAAAGTTTTTGTTGACTGGCTAAAAAAATGAAAGCCCTTAGTAATAAGGGACTGCAGATATGGCTGAGATTTTGCATACAGTATTATCATTATTTTCTCCCAAACCTACCTCTCCTTTAAACTTATTTCTTTTGAGAGTATTACCAAACTTTGGAAAACCAGAGTCTAACTTTAGGGTAATTCTTGACTATTCCCTTTTCCATACCGCCTGTAGTCAATCAGTTGTGAAATCTTGGTGTTTGGTGATTCTACTTCTGTATCTCATATATGTCTCTTTTCTACTCACATAGCCACCAGCCTGGTTCAGAATCACATATCTTGCCCATGCCTTTGCAACAGCTTCCTAAATGGACTCCAAGATTCTAGTCTGTCTCTCTTCAATCTATCCTCTATACCAGTAGTGTGAAACTCAAATAGAAATGGGGTCACCAAACTGGACATAAGGATCTCTGCTGGCTGCATGTTGACTTAGAAAACCACATATTAACATTATCTACGTTCTATTTTATTTTTATTTATTTTGTTAAACATTTCTCAATTACCTTTTAACCTGGTTCTAGCAGCAGTAAGAGTGTTGCAGGCTTCAGTGCAGCAGGCTGGCTTTGTTATCTCCTGGTTGACACCTTTGCCCTACACAGTTGCCACCATAGTTTTCTGAAAGCATGGGTCTGACCTTGTCTCACTCTTCTCCTCAAGAGACTTCAGTGTTTTGCTGTTATTGCTAGGATAAAATACAAACTTCCACCACAAAAACATAGATGTTGTTTGACATCAAGAGACATTAATACTATTTTTTGTCTCTGATGGTGGGCAAAAAAACTAAATCCACTGCTCCTCATTCCCCCCTCCATCAGCTATTTGAGCACCAGAATAAGGCCTGCTTTTTCCAGCCATCCACTCTGCTGATAGTTTCACATTTCCTTACTATCTCTTTGTCTGTTTCTTACAGTGATCAGAGCCAAAGCTGTCAGTGGGAAAGAAGTGGACTCTGGAAATGATATTTATGGAAATCCCATCAAAAGGATTCAGTATGAGATCAAACAGATAAAGGTAATCAGTGACTTCACATTATATCACTTTCATCAGACTGTACTTCCAGTCCTTTTTCTCAGGTAGCTGCTAAAAGAAAGGTACTCTTGAGTGTTGTGAAATGGGAAATTAGAAGTCTCTCAGGAAATAAGGGGGGCTCAATATAGTGGTATTTAGCTTTTTATGAACCCAGAACACTTCTCATGTGATGAAATGCTAGCCTCCACAGGTAGTCCAGTATATAATTGGATTGTAGAGAATATATGTTATTTTGATATTTTGAAAGATCAGTGTTTTCTTGCATAGAAGATAGAGCCTTGGACTTGAAGTTGGGAGATTTTTAAAACATTGAAATGCTGTAGAAATGTTGTTGTTGTTGTTGTTGTTGTTGTTACCCAGATGCTACCAATGTAACTCACATTCTTTTCTCTTTTCACAATTAGCATGGACAAAATTTAACACTTGGTTCTTAACCTTATAGGTGGTTGTGGGTCTTCATTTATGTAATATATGTAAAGAAGAAGGGAAGGGAAGGAGCAAGGCAGGGATAGAATTTGGAACTCAAAACTTTAAAAAAATGTTTAAAATTATTTTATCACATAATTGGGGAAAAATTATATATATGTGTGTGTGTGTATATATATATATATCTATATATATATCTCAGCTGTTATGATCATCATCCTCATCCTCATCCTCATCATCATCATCATGGTGAATCTTTCTGCCCTGAGCTATATTTGTCTTTAACAAAAAAATATCATGAGACCTACAGAACTCAGTTTCTCCTGGGATAGTCTTTAAGAAGCCAAAGTCGAACCCTTTATGAACCTCTCATTCCACAATGAGAAATCAGAGAAGGAATTTAGTGAAGGAAGTATGTTATGTAAAATATAGAAACATCCAATGCATGTAGATGAATTTCTAAAAAGTTGTATATAAATTTGAGTTTTAGTAAAGCAATGTGATTCTTCCATGATTTATATGCACATTTTCACAGATGCTTTTTCTCCTCATTTTTGAATCCTTGTCTATTGGCCTGTGTCTTCTTTTAGCTTTAAGTCACCAAGTTGAGAATGGTTATCTAGTATAAAGTATGCCAAGCGCTAGACCTGTTGCTCTGAGCAATATCATTATAATAATAATGAGAGCTGTCATGCACATAATGTTTTAAGGTTTGCAAAGTGTTTTACACACATCATCTCATTCAAGCCTTCCAACAATCTCTTCAGGGTAAATACTACAGGTATTATTACTCTCATTTTCTACATGAGGAAATTGAGACTCAGGGAAGTTAAATGACTTGTCCACAATCACACAACTAATAAGTAATGAGATTGGATTCAAATTCAGGTCTTCTTGACTCTGAGTTTAGCACCTTAATTCCATAGGAACCCTAATTCCACATTATTCTGCTGCATTATGGAATAATGGAGCTTGTTCTCTCTATCCTTGGAGTGCTTACTATTCAGAAGACAGTGCATGCATGCATGGCACAAGCAGAGAGTACCATAGGGTTATATCAATGCTGCTTGAAGTTGGTGGCATGGCTGCTAACAGCATTAGCAGTTTCAAGGAGAGAAAGAGTGTTGGGGTTCAGAGTAATCAGGGGAAGTTTTGTGGCAGGGATTAACTGTGCTGGGCTTTATGGGATGACTGATAAAGAAATGGAGAAAGCACAAGAACAGACCTCCTTCTTGGAAGAGATTGGCTCTGATAAGTAGGAGAAAATAGAATAGTAGGTCACATGGTTATTAGCAGGATTGAATTATAGTGTTTATTTTTTAATTGAGTCGAGAAGACAGGCATATTTGAATGCAGGAGGGAATAAACTATTGGCTAGAAAGATTAAAGAAAGTTGGAGAGAAAAGGGGTAAGTGTGAGAGAGCACTGAATCTCAGTAAGAAGCTGGGAAAGGATGAGATTCAGAGCAGATGTCAAGAACACCTGAGTTCAAATCCTGCCTCACACAGTTACATCTGTAAATGGAGATGATAACTTTATAGGGTTGCTGTGGGGATCAAATGACAAAAATGTATATTATAGTGCTTTGCAAGCATCAGAGTGCTATATAAATGCCAGCTATCATCATTATCTTCATCATTATAGATGAATACAACCAATCATTTAAGTGCCATCTATGTGTCATGGAGGCAGCTAAGTGACTAAGTGGATAGAGTGCTGGGCCTGGAATCAGGAAGACCCGAGTTCAAATCCAGCCTCAGATACTTACTAGCTGTGGGACCCTGGGCAAGTCACTTAACCTCGGTTTGCCTTAATCAACTAGAGAAGGAAAAGGCGAACCACTCCAGTGTCTCTCTCAAGAAAACCCCAAATGGGGTCACAAAGAGTCAAACACAACTGGAAATGACTGAACAACATTTTCTCTATAATAAAATATACATATTCCTCTGTTGGCCATTTAAATACCTTCACAGTTCAGACTCTGGCCTCTATTTCTAGAATTATTTCACATAATTCCCCCATGATAGTTCCTGTCAACTAACATACTTGCTATTTGCATGGCATTCCATTTCCCATTTCTCTGCCTTGGTACAGGATGTACCCCATGCCTGGAACATTTTCCCACCTCTTTGGAATCCCTAACGCCCTTCAAAAGTCACCTCAGGCAGCACCTGCTGCAGCATGCCTTTCCTGATTTCCCAGCTGTTAGGACTCTCCTCCCACCCCATTATAGAATATATAATAACATGTTAAATCTATTTATCATAAGGAATATAATAAATTTACATTTATTTTGTACATACTTTGTGTTACTCATCAGTGTACATTGTTGTACTTCTCCTGTAGAACATAAGCTTGAGGACAGACTATTTCATTTATGTCACTATGTCCCTAGCACCTCAGCATAGAAGATTTGGCCAATGGCCATAATTTGCTAACTGCCTGGACTAGATGATCTCCAAGTTTTGTTCCAGGTATAATACTCCATGATTCTCATGTGCCTATACCTGCACATGAAATCCTACAGAAGTCCACTGAATCTGAAGGTGATAAGTTTTTTAACTGCTCTTGCTTACTCTGTGATTTCCACAAACCACCCTACTAGCTATTCCCCCTCCATGCCTTTAAGTGGGTGTGTAATGCTCATACCTGCAGTATACTCCCTCCTCTCTGCCTCTTGGAATCCTGAGGTGCCTTTAAGGCTCAGCTGGAGTGCTATCTGCCTCTTTCCCCAGGAGTTAGTGTTTCCCCACCCCTGAAATTACTTTGTATCTATTTTGCATTAACTTACAGAGTGCATGCTATCTCCCCACCCCCACTCCTTAGCAGGGCAAGGCAAGGACTGGGATTGTTTTTGCCCATTCCTGGCACCAAGTAGACAATGCTTAATGAACTAAGTATTGTCATTGAAGGTTGGAGTATTCAGTTGAGGAAAGCTCTGTGGAAGAACTCATATCTAAGCTAAAACTCACAGGAGTAGGATAATAGGGGGCAGGAGGGCAGATGTTCCATGTGGGGTTAATGTCGTGGGGAAAGCAAGGAGGTAAGAACAAGCAAGAGACTGACCTACCTAGAGTACAAAGTGTTTTGAGGGAAATAGATAGAAATAAGGTTGGATAAGGAAAGTTGTTGGGCTAAATGATGGAGGTGTTTGAAAGCTAATCAGATGAGCTGGGACTTGATCTGGTAAGAAAATAAGGAGTCATTGACAGTTTTGAAGTAAGGGAGTGACCTGATATTGTCAGTAGTATTAAAGAAATATCAATTAGACAGGTAGGGCTGTGCAGGATGGTTTTGTGAAGGAATAGCCCAGAATCACAGAAGCCACCTCGGAGGCTGTTGAAATAATCCAGAAATAATATGATAAGAGACTAGACTGGGGTGATGATGGTACTAGCATTTATGTAATGCCTATGTGTATCAGGCACAGTGATAAGTAGTTTACTATTATCTCATTTGATCCTCAATGCTGTGAGGCAGGTGTTATTATTATCCCCATATGACATTTGAGAAAACTGAGACAGACAGAAGTTAAGTGACTTGCCCAGAGTCACGCAGCTACTGAGTGTCTGAGGCAGGATTTGCACTTAGGTCTTCCTGACTCCAGGCCCAGCTCTCTATCCACTGCACCACCTAGCAGTCTGAGCTGATAGTGAAGATGGAGAGATGAATATGAGAATCATTTTGAAATAAAAATTGGCAGGACCTGGGAAGTGACAAGATATGGAGAATAAAGAAGTGTGAGCAGTCAAAGATGATGATGAGGTTTCAGACCAGATGACAGAAAGATGATGGTGTTAACAAAGATAGGAAAATTGGGAGAGTTATTTTGTGGAGGTGGGGAAGGAAGATGACTTCCATTTTGGACATGTTTAGTTTGAAGTGGTTGCAAGATATCAAAGTGTGGGAATGCCTGGCTGACAATTAGAGATAAAGAACTGGTGCTGTTGGTGAGAAGACAAGACTATGATGAGATGGTTGTGAGATCATATTTGTTTCAAAAAAAAAAAAAAAAAAGGAGGGGCAGCTAGGTGATTCAGTGCATAGAGCACCAGCCCTGGAGTAAAGAGGACCTGAGTTCAAATTCGGCCTCAGGCACTTACTAGCTGTGTAACCCAGATTACCTCCACGTAAATAAATAAACAGATAAATAAATAAATGAAAAGGAGGGGAGATGGGGATATGATATTAAGAGTCTAGAGAATGGAAGAGAAATTGATACTCATAATAATAAATTGTGTAATCTTACCACAAGCTTATATAACCATAAAACAATAAAGTTTGTTCCTACCTTAGTTCCTTCATTCATAAAGTAGGAAGGAGAATCTCTTTTCTTTTTTACCTCACTGAGGAATTCTGTGAATGAAAGTAATAATGTTTGGAAAGCATTGTTGGCTCTTGAGAGAGGCATTATGTAAATATATTGTTGTCATCAATATGATATTAGCATTATATGTTAAAAGATTTTCTGTATAGATTTCCTCTGCTTGGCCTCAGAGGGTAGAACTAGGAGTGAAATTGCAAACAAGCAGATTTGGGTTTGATTTCAGGAAAAACCTCCTAACAATTGGGTATAAAATAGCTAATAGCTAGTATTTATATAGCACTTTAAGGTTTGCAAAGCTCTTTACATATGTTATCTCATTTGATTCTCACAACAACCTTGTGAGGTAGGTTCTATTATTATCCCCATTTTAAAGATGAGGAAACTGAGGCTAGGAGAGGTTTAGGTTGACTAACTTACAAGCTAGTAAGAGCATAAGGCACTTAGCTCTTCCTGGCTCTAAGTCCAACATTCCTGCAACACTGCAACACTGAGTTGTCAAAAGTGCTATGTACAGCTAGGTGGCACAGTGGATAGAGCACTACTAGCCCTGGAGGCAAGAGGACCTGAGTTCAAATCTGGCCTCAGACACTTACTAGCTGTCTGGGCAAGTTACTTACCCCCATTGCCTAAACAAAAAAAAAAAAAAAAAAGTGCTATGTGCTTCCCTGGGAGATGGTAGACTCTCCCCTCCCTGGTGGCCTTCAAGCAAAGACTGAGTACTTTTCAGCTATGTTATCGAAGAGATTTTTGTTCAGGTATGAGTTAAACTGAGTGGCCTCTGAGATATTGTGATTCTGCTTATCTAATGTTATCTATTGTCAATTGAGAATTAGTGCTGACATGGTTAGAACTTTGTGGCACAGTGGATAGAGTGCTGGGCCTGAAATCAGGAAGAATCCTCTTCCTGAGTTCAAATATGGCCTCAGACACTTTTACTAACTGTGTGACCCTGAGCAAGTCCCTTAACCCTGTTTGCCTCAGTTCTTCTTCTGTAAAATGAACTGGAGCAGGAAATGGCAAATCATACCAGTATCTTTGCCAAGACAACCCCATGTGGGGTCACAAAAAATCAGATACGACTGAAAAGGACTGAACAACAACAAAGATAATAAATAATAATAGCTACATTTAAAAAAATAAAAAAAAATAGCTACATTTATATAATGCCTAGGCCCTGTGCTAAGTGCTTTACAATTATTATCTCATTTGATCCTCATGACAACCCTGGGATATAGGTGCTATAATCCCCATAGTATAGATGAGGAGACTGATGCAAATAGAGGTGAAATGACTTGCCCAGGGTCACACAGCCACTGTCTAAGGCCAACTTTGAACTCAGGTCTTGCTGACTCTAGGCCTAACTCTCATCCACTGCTCTACCTAGCTGCCTGTCTAACAGTATAAGAAAGAAATCACAGCATTTTTAGCTCGTAAAGGTTTCATGACACGCACCCCAACAATGGCTCCAGTTCTGCAACTGTACAATATGGCTGTACCCTTCACGTGAAGGTTTTAGATGCTCCACATAGAGTTCATCTCTTGCACAACTCCAGGACAGTCTCTCTGCTTCTTTCTGCCTTAGTCTACCGCCCCCCCTCCCCCACTTCAGTATCTTTGTGCCATGGGACCGCTTGAACAGAATTTACATCCCTTCCTTTTGTTATGTCTCAGTGTTGGGCAACATGGATGTTTTTGCAGCAGGACCTGTAACTATGACTTCAAAAGAAGGATCTATTCACTTTGTACAGGTTTGCCTCACTTTATACTGTAGCTGTATCTCTGAACCATGGCATAAATCAAAGCCGTAACTAGAGCAGGGTGACCATGGATGGCACCTAAATTCTGAGGGGACTGAGGACATTGTCCCAGAGTGCTTCTTCCTCACCAGCAACCATATCCCCAGCTTCTCTTCGCCCTTCCCTTTCCCTCCCCCTACCTTCTTGGAGTTAGCCACCCAGTGCTTAAGTAACATAAGAACCTTGTCATATACGCTTCCTCCTCCTGGTGGCCACATCCCTCAGGTAAGGCTCCCAACATTCCTAGTTACTTCTCTGCTTTAAAGTTATATACATCGAATCCTATTCGAAGCAGCTGTTATGGACTTGGAGTCAGACACAACACCTGAGTTTTAATCCTGCTCAGACAGGATTACTTACTAGCTTTATGATCCTAAGCAGAATTAATCTCAGTTTCCTCATCTTTGACTTCTCTCTTTAAAAAAAATTCTCCATATTTTATTTATCCCTTTTATGTTTGTATTACATTAATACATATTTATGGAATAAAACAAGCATTTCTGTAACATAGTACAATAAAAAAGATGATTGCACATAAAACTGCAAATCTACTGTGCACAACTTGCTATTCTTTTCAAATATACAATAAAATTGTCATGTAAATTTCTTTGACTTCTCTTAATCTGTTTCCTCATCTTGAAAATGGGAATAATAATACCACCTAACTCACATGGTTCTTGTAAGGATCAAGTGAGACACATAATGTAAAGTTCTTTGCAAACCTTAAAGCACAATATAAATGCTAGCTATCATTATTTTCCCATTGGTTAAAAGATCATTTCAGAGATTTTTTTTCTAACTTTATTCAATCATCTATACATTTTTTTTAAGTTTATCTGTCCTACCCCTTGTTAAGTTCCTCAATAATAGTCCATATTTAATTAATATGGCTAATTAATATTCCATAAGTGTATACTTCAAACCTATTAAAAAAATCTCAAAACCTGTGAGTAAATCCATTGTGTCTCTTAGTAATGTTCACCCCTTAATTTTGTAACGCTATTTTATAAGTTGTATTTCTTTTAAATCTAATTTTCTTAAAGTAAAATACCAATTGTGATGAAAGGACAAATTGGAGAGTATTGGGCTACTGCATGATGGGTGGACATAGAAGTCTCTGAGTTTCTTTAAAAGGAGGACTAGACAATCCCTTTCAAAGCTTCACTTTTTTTTCATTTTTTCCCCTTCAGATGTTTAAAGGACCTGATAAGGATATCGAGTTCATTTATACTGCTCCATCCTCAGCAGTATGTGGAGTCTCATTGGACACTGGAGGAAAAAAGGAATATCTAATTGCAGGTATGTGAGGCCATTAGTTGGAGATGGGTGGAGACCATGGAAGAGATTTTGGATTGACTCAGCTCTAATGCTTCATACTTGAAGGCCATGTAGCTTAATTCTGAGGCCACCTAGTCCAACCTCCTCATTTTACAGATGAGGTAACTTAGGCTGTAGAAGTTTCAGTGACTTGGCCAAAGTCATATAGGAGTAATCAACAAGGGTGGGATTTAAACCCAGGTCTTCAGAGTCAAGTGTTCTTGAATGGAGAAATGAATGGAGAAAAATACAAAGCAGCGAGTTGTCAAGTATCAAAATAATAAGGTCTTTCATTTTTTATTCTTTTATTATTATTCATATGGTGCTTTTAAAAGGCTTAATTTACTTAAATATTTGTTGAATATTTGGAGCCATCTAGCTACTTTCAGCTGGGTGGCTCAGTGGATAGAGTACTGGGCCTGGAGTCAGGACAACCTAAGTTCAAATTCTACCTCAGATATTTAATAGTTGTGTGACTTTGGGCAAGTCACTTACTCTCTGCTTCATTTTCTTCAACTATAAAGTAGGGGTAATAATAGCACCTACCTCACAGGGTTGTTATGAAGGATCAAATGAAATAATATTTGTACAATGCTTAATACAGTGCCTGAGACATAGTAGGTACTTTAATAAATGCTTTTTTTTCCTTCCTAAATCCTCCTGTAACAAAGAACTGTGTTAGGCATTGGAGATGCAATCCCTGTCATACATTCTAGTGGGATCATTCAACTTGAGCACCACTAAGCATAATATAGGGTAGGGAGTGAGGGGGCAAAGGAATGACTGAAGAATGCTGGAAATATTTGAAAAGGGATAAAACACTAATAATTGGGGTAGGGGAGAAGGGAGGATGCAGGAGAGACTTCTCAGGACACAGCATCTAAATTGAATCTTGAAGGAAGATAAAGATTCTGAAAGGCAGAGGTGAAGAATGAGTAAATTTCAAGCATGGGGGAACAGTTTAAGTGAAAGTATAGAGGATGTAATGAGGAATTTATGAAGCATTTTCCTTATAGCACCGTTTGAGGCAGTTAAAACAAGTAAATATCTCCATTTTATAGGTAAAGGGGCCAACATGGTATAGTGGATAAGGCACTGACCTTGGAAGGCGGTTTCAGATCCTGCCTTAGAAACCTACTTTCTCTGTGATCCTGGCCAGGTCACTTAACTTCTCTGTGCCTTGGTTTCCTCATCTGTAAAATGAAAGGTCTGAATTCAATAGCCTCTGTATTCTAAAGCTATGATCCTTTGAATTTGCCCAAGGTTACCCAGCTTGTAAGTATAAGAATTGAGATCTGAACCTAGATCCTCTTAGTTGAAGTCTATGGTTCTTTTCACTAAATTAGGCTACCTCTTAAAATGTGTGTGTATACTACATAAATGCACACCTACATATGTATGTACGTATACATATGTAAAGATAATAAATGTTGTAGAACATCAGATAAGGAAGAGAACATTGTGGCTAGGGCCAAAAAACTGCCATTTTTATGTCTTTAATTGAACCCTTAAAGAGGAGTATCATTTGGATAAGTGGACAGGAAGTCAAGTCAACAAGATTTACCATGTGTCAGACGCTGTGCTAAGCTCTGAGGATGCAAAGAAAGGCAAAAAACTGTCTCTGCCCTCACAGAAGAGGGAGGCACTTCCAGAGGAGGGAAATTGCATTTGTCATAATGTAAAAGCAGAATGAGTATGACAGGATGCCTTTTTTTTTTAAATTTCTCTGCCCTTGGAGTCATTTTACCTTTGCTTCTCTAAGGTTTTCTATCACAGGAGTTTTCCTTCAATGCAGTAGTCTCATGTTTCTATTAAGTTGGTTCAAGGATCTTTTTCGCTTAACTTTCTTACTGTTATCTCATTCTGGGAAAATCTACAGAGACCTCTGGGGAAGGACTAAACCAGAATCAATCTAGTCGCTCTTTTTCAATGCTGCAAAGAATTGAGCTTTGACAGTACCTTTTAAATGAAAACTAGAAAACTTTTGCCATCATTTTTACGTCTTGTTGTATTGCCCTCTAGTGGTTTCTGCAAGATACTGCTTTGCAGTAAAAACTGGGCAGGATTATGTGGGAAACAAAATATATCTAGTCACTGGCAATAATAAAAGTAGTTTAGTTTATATTACATAATACTTATGTGTTTATACAACATTTTACAGCTTAAGAACTTTCACTCTGGTTTTCTCATTTCATCCTCACAACAACCCAGTGTGATATTTCTATTTGATATATGGTAGAACTGATGCTCAGATGAATTTCACTACAGTGCAACAAACAGTAGGTGTCTACTGTGTGCAAGGCAACATGAGAGATGATGGAGATGCCAAGACAAATAGGGAAAACTCCTTCCTTCAAGAACTAGTAACCGACAGGGCTTTGTCTTTCTGGTTGCTTACTGACTCTTAAGTTGGAACCCCGGGGCTTAAAAGGATCTTAATGGGGACATTTAGTCAGATCTTCTATTTGTAGATAATCAGAGAAATAGAAAGTCCATCTCTTTTTTTTTTTTTTTTTTGGTGAGGCAATTGGGGTTAAGTGACTTGCCCAGGGTCACACAGCTAGTGTCAAGTATCTGAGACTGAATTTGAATTATTCAGGTCCTCCTGACGCCAAGGCCAGAGTTCTATTCACTGTGCCACCTCGCTGCCCCCCGTCCATCCCATTTTTTAAGGACCCATTCCATTTTTAATGGGAGACCTTCATCATCACAATTCACTTCAGAAACAAAGGCTCCTAGAAATGATTTCTTAAACAGCTGCCAGGTCTATAAACCTCATGCTTAGTACTTTGTACCTCTCTTAGGCACTTATCATGGTTTCTTTTACATAATGGTTGTTTGCATGCCATTCTTTTCTCCTCTACTACCTTGTAAATTCCTTATGGGCTGGGAGGACCCATCCAGAGATCACAGGACAGAACAGAAAGGGCCTAGAGTCCTAGGAAAGGTCCCAGCTTTGCCACTTAACTATGAGCGAGGCACTTCACCTCTTTTAGAGTTGCTGGAAAGAAAGTGCTTTGTGAATCTATCAATATGAGTTGAGTTTTACTGTGTCTCCCATGGCATTTAGCAGGAACTTAATATATATTTATTCATTTATCGAAGTGAATTTAAATAGTCCCCAAAAGCCTCTGCCACAGTATTCAGCTACCAGTTATTCATTGCCGTGTGAGCTGAGCCCTATCCTTTTACTGAGAACTGGGAAAGACCTTAACTTAAAAAGCCAAGGTCTCCCACTGCATCCAGGGCCATCTTCAGTTGTCCTGATCTATATCTTGCCAATGGACCCAGATGGCTCTGGAGGACAGAGTGAGGCTGGTGACTTTGCACACCCCTCCCTCACTTAAATCCAATTCACTTACAAGTCATGGCATCACCTTCCTGTCATGGTCCTCTTCTAGAATGAAGGTCAAACAACAATCCTATAAGTTTACAGATCTAAAACACCCAGGAAAAATAGGGCTGTCAGAGACACACCCTTTCCCAAAGCAATGATATGGTGTTGACTTGATCACAGTTCCAAATTAGTGGGGAAATGGTGGCATCAGGCCAGAAAAATGTCCAAGATTTAGAGAGGTCTTACTAATCCCAGCAGTCCAAATTTGAGGTGAAAGTTTCCAAGCTCCTCCAGCCCTTTGGTCTCTGGAATTTGAGGAAGATTCAGCAACCAGAGCAGGTCAGATGGCCAGGCTGAAAGAGCATGGATGACTGCTTGTGGAATATAACATAAAAAGAATTCATATTCAGGTGTGGGATGGAATAGATGGCCACTAGAAGACCCTTCCAACTCACATGATATGATTGTGGTCTGAAACACATCCCAAGGTCTGCCTACCTTTCAGAACTTCTGCAGATCTCTGCCTGTATTTACTTCCTAGAGGAAGGAGTCTGAAAAAGCAATAACAAAGAAGATATATATATATATATATATAATAACTAAATAATATAGAACTATATATTATTTATCACTATATATAAATATATAATAACTAAAGAAAGTTGGTTCAGGAAGTGGGTTGTGTTTCTTGAGTTAGATGCAGCTTTTTTTCTTTTTAAAAATTTTTCTTTTTATTATTATGAACTTGGCAGTTAGCAATAAACACAAACATTTCCATATACAGATAAAAATAAGAACTGTGTAGTGAAAATGAATTTCCACCACATTCCACTTGGGTTTTTTATTTTTATTTTTTGCCTTTTAGGTGAGGCAATTGGGGTTAAGTGATTTGCCCAAGGTCACACAGCTAATAAGTGTCAAGTGTCTGAGGTCAGATTTGAACTGAGGTCCTCCTGATTCCAAGGCCAGAGTTCTATCTACTGCACCACTTAGCTGCCCCTTTTTAAAAAAGTTTTTAAAAATTTTTTGCCCTACTTGTTTGTCTCCTTCTGAAATGTCTACTATTCTCCTCTGTTTACTTTTTTTTAATGATTCATTGATGCCATTTTCTTTCTTTCAATTTTTAGTATCACTATGACTACTCTCAACTATTAATTATCTCAATAGATACAGAAAATTCTGTTGATAAAAGATAATGCTAGGGCAGTTAGGTGGCACAGTGAATAGAGCATCGGCCATGGAGTCAGGAGGACCTGAGTTCCAATCTGGCCTCAGATCATAACACTCACTAGCTGTGTGACTCTGGGCAAGTCACTTAACCCCAATTGCCTCACCAAAAAATTAATTAATTAATTAATTTTTTTAGAAAAAAAAAAGAATGTTAAGTATAAAAATCTTACAAAGTGTAGGTATGGAGAAGGGGTTTCTAACTTGTGGTTCCATGAACTTTTTTAAAAAAACTAATTTGATAACTATATTGGGATATAATTGGTTTCCTTTGTAATCTTTTGGTTTCCATGTATTTTATTTTATGCATTTACAAAAATTATTCTGAGAAAGGATCTGTATGTTTCACCAAACTGCCAAAGAGATCCATGATTTTTTTAAAAAAGTTAACCCGTGGATAGAGAGATCTTATTTTACT